GTTTATCCACATCTTGATGACGCTATGGATACAGTTGAGGTGGTTCAATCGGATCTCGATGATCAACCAAAAGGAAAATTTAAATGCTCACTATGCGAATACTCAAGTAATCGTTCGAAAAATTTAACGCGTCATTTCGAATCATGTGTAAAAAATCAGCATAAAAAATTTGTTTGGCAACAGTGCGGAAAAAAGTTTGATGAAAAAAGATATCTTGCGCCACATCATGAAAAATGTAAAAAACGCATCTGATTTATGAATTTGTTCCGCTATTAATTTCGATTACAACACAGTACTTTTATTTAAAAAAATTCAATGTCATTGCCTCTTTTGAGCTAAACTCATTTTATATGAATGCCACTTTCGGGCATTTAATCCATAAGATAAAGATAAGACAAAAAGCAAAAAACGAAATCGATTCAAAGAATTATTTTCGAATAAGAAGACACTGGTCTGTTAGTTTATACAGTATATGTCTATATTTGTCACTTAATCAATAGTAAATAAACAGAATAGAAAGTAATAGTGTGTTCAATAATGTACCCAAGCGCGACTCCACACTTAGCTTCTAAATGTGACACCGTAGTAAGTGTGGGCATACGTTTTGCGAATAAGCGACAAAGAGAATGGAAACAAGTGCGCGTGTGGTAGTGAGTAGGCTGATGCGATGCTTCTCAATGTAGCGACTAATACACGCGCACTTGTTTCCATTCTCTTCGTCGCTTATTCGCAAAACGTATGCCCGCACTTACTACGGTGTCACATTTAGAAGCTAAGTGTGGAGTCGCGCTTGGGCTGTGTTATATAAATTATTATTTCGAAAAGAAAGACGGTGCAATCATTTCCACTAAATCATTTGAATGATTTACATATCGCGGTTTACCGCGCAATGTTTCGGATAGAACGAAATCATTTTTCGATTTGATTTGCCCAGAAAAAAATGTTTCAATACCAACAGCAGCTGAAACTATTGTTTTTTCGACAACACCTTCAACCGGAAGCAGTTCGCCATGTTGCGAAATTTCCGCAGAACACACTTTGGGCAAGGGGTGTTGCAATGACAACATTGCCATTGCTATTGAAGCACCGGCGCTACAGATTTACAGGCAATAACATATTATTAACTATACTTAATAACATAATAATAACGGCCGATATATTGGTCCAACATAACATAATAATAACGTTATTAAGATTCAGCATAATAATAACATAATATGTTATGCGTTATATCGGGTGTTATCTTAATAAATCCTAAGATTCGGCGGTAATAACATTTTATTAACTATAATAATAATATATTATTAAGATGGATTTATTAACTCAATTAATAACATATTATTAAGATACAATCTTAATAACGCTTTTTTCGCGCATTTTTTTCACCGGAGCACTGACAAGTTGTTTTTTCTCTGCGGAGTACACACATGAATTTTTTGCACTGTTGCAATGAAATTAAAATGACTCTTTGAAACGGAATTATCATGTAAGTATATATTATTATTTGGTTCATATTTTTTTGACAATTTATACGGTTTAAGTGTTGTTGTTGTTGTTGTTCATCATCATTATTACCTGTATCATCATCACCACCATCAGAATCATCATCATGTGTGTCATCACTACTTTCATCACCACCACTATTTTCATCCGTTGCGAATGGATCCTCTTCTTCACTCTCCTCATCTACTCCAAAATCGATGTGATCGGCAGTGTATTTAGGCTTTTTGTTTCGCGTGTTTCGCTTCAACGGCAATGTACGTTTCAATGAATTCGCCACCACCACATCTGATGCAGATGATGGTGGCCGTGCAGTAGTCGCCGATGCAGTAAATTGTGTGTTGACATTGCTCTTTGATTTGCGTTTTTGACCATCACTGCTATCAGAAAGACTTTCATCTTCGTCGATGTAATCTGAACTATCGTCATGTTTGTGTGATTGTCGTTTGCCATATGAGCAATGGGCTTGTTCCTCTTCATCACAATCTGTTGGTGATGAACAAGGAGAAAAGAAAAGATGGAATCAAAACAATTGTAATATATATATATATATATATATTATACAACGATACAAAGAAATCAAGAGGAATGTGAACGAGATTACAATACGGCTTATTTTACCTTGTTTTTGTTGTTTCTGTGATCGATCTGTTGTTGCGACACCACTTGCTGTTTGCTGAGGAGCCGCAGCAAGGTGAATCGTATTCAAATGATTGCCCAATTCTGATCTTGTGGGAAATACCATCAGACATAGTTCGCATCGATTGCCGTTGGCAATAACACAATTGAGATCTTCGTCTTCATCCTCATTGTTGAAATCGGGCATGATAATTTCTTTATCGGATGCAGATATCTATATTTGGAGAAATGAGATTGTTTTCAAATTGGAATCAAGAATGTTTAAGTTTCTTTCACATTTTTTTCCTCGAAACTCTAACAACTTGATGGAGATTGAGAAATTATTCACTATTAATTTTGACTCAATTACACAGCTCCAATTACACAATAAATTCACTGACAAAAGAACAAAATATACGAAAATTCGTCAACAAACTACGAATGTTGTGCTTGCTTACCATGCCATTCAATATGCTTTGGTCCATTGCACCATTAGCTGCTACAGACTGATTGAAACTGCTGCTTCGACTACTGTTGCTATTCGAATTTTGCTTTGAACCATTGCCGTTACCGCTGCAATTATTACTCATGCCACTGCGTGCATTCTGATCGATGGAGACATTTTGAGCGTTGCTTTGATTTTCTTTATTCTCCTCATCTAATTCATTTGAGTTTTCTTTCTGTGGAACCACCACCGATGGTGGTGGCCGTGCAATCGGCTGAGCTCCGCCCATTTGGAAAGGATCCTCAGACGATGCAACGGTGGCTTGTTTCGGCGGCTTATTGCTGCTTTTCGGCGGAGAAGTGACAACGACAGCGGCAGCGGGTGATGGATCATCTGATTCATCATCGCTTGTCAGGTCGATAACAGCATTTGGATTTTTATCAACGTCGTCGCGCAAATCATAATCAGAGAAATGAGGCACTTTGAACTGGAACAAACCAGTTTTCGGTTCGTAGCGTTCGAACGTGGCGCCGGTTTCTTTGCAAAATGTCTTCTTTAATTGGTCCTCCACATAGCGCATATTCTCCAGTATCACACAGTCTTTGATTGGTAGGTAAGTCTGTTTATTATTCGGCCACATGTTGTATAAAGTTACAACTGCTTCACGATTTAATCCTTTTCCCAATTCTGGTTTGACTGCGTCGTCTGGATAAACGACAATACGCTTGTGAGTGAACTCCACCAATTCGTCGAAATTCAAACCAAACAAATTGGTTGGACCACCGAAGAAAACGCTGCCATACCCTTTTCGGCCGATTGTAAAGTTCGATACAATGCATTCACCATCTTCGGTGACGTACCTGGCCAACTCATCACAAGGTGGCACCGTGTAATAGTCTGTGCGCGTCAAAACGATACCAGCAGAATGTGGTTCTTCTTCTTGTTTGATGTGAGCTACGACGGCTGGTGAATCTTTTCGGTTCGATGCATCGTTCGCAGCATGTTTTTTGTTTGCTTTGAGTTCATCTTCAATTGCTTTTATCTTACAATTGAGAATTTCAATATCTGCTTTGCATTCGTTCACTCTGCCTTCTAAAATCAATGGATCTGCCGATGGCGGCCGTACTGTGATGGCCGTCGCCTGAGCTTCACCCATTTGGAAAGAATACTCTTCTAAAATCAATGGATCTGCCGATGGCGGCCGTACTGTGATGGCCGTCGCCTGAGCTTCACCCATTTGGAAAGAATACTCAGTTTGCTGCTGTTGTTGTTGTTGTTGCTGTTGCTGTTGCTGTTGCTGTTCAGAGCTAAAATCTTCTTCCGAAATCAAATCTTTCGATTGTTCAATGTTTTCATTGCGTTTGTTTGTTGTGCTGTTGTCGATCGCATCGACAATATTGTTGTTGTTGTTGTTAGTCGCTATGCCTACAAATGAAAAACAAAGTACCGTTATGTGCTGTGCTCTGCTGTGCTGTGCTGTACTGAATGATGCCAACAGGAATGGACATGTGATTTTTTTTTCTACATTTTCTTGAATTCTCGAGTCTCTAAGACTCACAAACACTCAATTTCTTACCTTTGTGTGATATTGTGAACAGAATTTTTGGTTGTTCTGCTTTTTTGTATCGAGACGCGATGTAGTGTTCTTGACTGCAAGGTATTATTTCATCATCATCGCTTGCATTTGTTGCCGTAACTTGTGGTGTTGTTGGTACTTGTGTAAATTGCGTTTCTTCATCGGATGTCAAAATGTCATCGACAGAATTATAATCACTTTCACTTTCTAGTTCACGACGCTTCTTTTTCTTTTTTATCGGTGTTAATGGTGATTCGACGTAAATGGTTGATCTTCTCGCGCGCAACCGATCTGATTGCCGCCACATGTTTTCTTTTTCCACTTGAATTGTATGCACGTTTTTTGCTTTCCTCGTTCGTTGCGAGGCGGTGTGATGACTGACTATGGTCTACGTCGTTCTCGTCGAAATGATTGCACACGAATGAGCGAAGTGTGTCACACCACACAACAAGCATGCCGACGATGCCGGCGGTGTCAAGAATATCTTGTGCTGTGCTGTGCTACCACTACATTTGCAATGCAGTGTATATGCAGTGTATACACTATAGTGAACGGCAAGTGTGTGTATTTGTCTTTCACACGCTCAGTCGAAATAACTGTTGCTGCTACTGTCTGTACTCACACAGGCTCGTCGTCAACACGATTGTACACGATTTGTACGCGCATAGGCATTGTATTCTCTCCAATATACAAAAACTCAAGACGACTCGCATAAACATGAAACATTTACCTTGGTACTGGAAGAATAACTGAAAAAAAATCTTTGGCCAGGAAAAAAATATACATCAAATTAGTTCAATTTCATTTTATTTCAATTAATCCTATTCGTGTGCTGTCACCCATTTGGAAAGACTAGCACACGCACACAGACATACATTCACTTCTTACAAATTATTATTCTATTTGCTATTTTTCTTGAGAGTTTGGCACTTTTTTTTCCTTATCATCATGACATTTTTTTTTATTTTAGTTTGTTCGGTGTTTTTTCTAAGTTACCCTCACCCATCTGGAAAGAGCAGTAACAAAAAAAACACACACAAATACATTTTTTTCTTATTTGAGTTGAAGAAAGTCGTACGCAATAGACTCTTCCTTCACGACTTCAACAGCGGCATCGAAAATGCCCGCGTATGCTGGGTCTGTTTTCATGGCGTTGTATACACGAAGCAAAACGGCAGCATCTGTGGCGGCATATGCCGTTTGTTCAACGGACAGTGTCTCTTTGTTCCAGTTTGACAGCTGTTGCAATTTGGACAGCGGTTTGCCCAAAAATAACTCAACCAAGTCTGACAATGATACTTCGTTCTTCGGAACGCCGTTTCTGTCCATCACCACCGCACCCAATTTTTTGGCCAGCCGTTGAAGATCGATCGACTCGAGAAAATCAACTTGTACAAAAAATTTATTCAAATGTTTCCGATCGTTTCCGCCTGCGAAGAATAGCACTGTCTTTAGTTCTATTTGCCGGCCAATCGATGCAAGAATGTCATCATCCAACTTGTTCAAATTGCGTCGTTGCACCAAATATGCACTGGTGTATTGGTCATGCATTGCCACTTGAATCAATTCCACTATTTTGCCATCGAACGCGTTGCTTTCCGTATCAATTCCGATCATTTGCACATTTTCCAACATTGCAAGCATATCATTGAGATGTTCATTGGTGTTAACGTTGATTACGGCAATGTTTTCCATTGAATAGAATTTTGTTGGATCGACTGGCCTCTGCCGCTCGTATTTCAGTCGATTTTGAAATTCTTCGACGAACTTCTTGTCCTCTGGCATGTAGCATACCCATTCCAACAATATTTCGGCTCGCATTTTGTCTTTCACCACGTTATTATAGAAGTATCCCTTGAATATTGATGGCTTTGATGGCGGTAGCTTTGGCATTCCCTTTGATTTCTTGGCTCTTTTCGCTGACGGCTGCGCGATCATGGGTGCTTTCTCGGGATAGTCAAGCTTACCCGGTTCGGTGGCGGTTCGTGGCCAATTGGGAAGAGCGGCGGCGGACGATGGCCCTACCACAGCCTGAGCTCCACCCATCTGGAAAGGATCCTCAGGTGTGACAGTGGTGGTAGTAGCGGTGGTATTGCGCGCGGTGGCGGTGGTAGCGGCTTTGCGCTTGTCGGCGGCTTTGAGCTTGGCGGCGGCTTTGAGCTTTTCGACGGCAGCCGTAAACTCTTCATTCTGCTTCTTTAAGATTTCGTTTCTTATTCCCTTGAGCTTTTGTTCGAGTTTGTGTCTTTTACCTTCTGGAAACCTGATATAGATGCCCGCTACGAAGTTGAATGGTGTAACCATATTCGGAAGGCGCGGAGCAGCGTTATCAATAAATCTTTGTTCGCTCCAATCGTTTGTCGTCGTTCGCACAAATTGAATTAAACCGTGAAGTATTGGCGCTAGGTTTTGGAATGGTCGGTAATTTAAGCCGCACGCGATGTCCAAAATAATGGCGCACATGGTTAAAAAATGACCGACTCTTAGGTACGGATAGTCGTTATAAATGCGGCACACTTTTTTAACCAGCGCAATGATAGCTCCAGCCACAGAGTCTTCTCCATCCACTTGTTTCATTGGGCAATTTACAATTTGAATCAAGTACGTGAGAATGTTGTTCAATTTGTACACACTGAGGTATGCAATGTCATTGAAATGGCGCTCGATTTCTTCGTTAAAATCCTCCAATTGATCGCGTCGGTTTTTCATTTGGGCGATCATTGAGCTCAATTTTGCGATGCCGCCTCCAACTGGCTGACGACGAGGAGGAACGCCGCCACCCATCTGGAAAGGCTCGCGCTCCTCATCCTCATCTTGAACCACTTCCACAACATCCCAATAGTCATCGGGTATTCGGAACAAATCATTGTACGTAATTTCATCGAAACAATCGAGATACTTCAGTACACCCCGATTTTGCAGCCAGTTTTTGAGAAATGGAATGTCGTGTTGGTCATCATCTAGAATCGGTTGGCGTTCGTCCAATCCAAATGGATGATATGGTAATGCTCTCACTTGTTGTTGTTGCTGTTGACGCGCCATTGTCTGTAAAATGTGAGAAGTCGTTATTAAGTCGTTATTGTTTGTGTACGAGAGATTGCATGTTTTTCTTTATCACCCTCACCCATTTGGAAAGAGCAGTGACAAAGAAAACCATACTTCTTTATGTGCGATTGTCGGGCACGATTTTGGGTGTATGTGGTGTTTGAATAGTATCAGTCTGTGTGGTTTCAATAGTATCAGTTTGAATAGTATCAACAGCAAAAAACACTCCAAACAGAATGAAAAAATGAAATGAGATGAGACGACAGCAACAATGTGTCTCTTTGTTTATAATCGACTGCGCTAAATGTGCGATGCATTTGTTTTGTGCTGTGTGTTTAGTCACCACTTTTAAGAACGAAGGAAAATAAATGCATCATACACTCTGTATGTTTCTTCTCACATTGCAATAGAGATGTTTTTTTTTATCACCCTCACCCATTTGGAAAGAGCAGTGACAAAAAAAAAACACGCGGCACACACAAAACGAATGATTTTGTTGTCGTTGTCGTTCGTTGTCTCGTTGCTATTGCAGTTGAATTCACACTTTGTTTGTCATCCTCACCCATTAGGAAAGAGCCATGACGCACACACACTCACAAATCGATCGACAATCGAAAAAAAATTTTTCTTCGGAAAATATCACTCTCAAAAAAATTTCAGACTTACGAAAAAATACTGGCTGGCTTCAAATATATTGCACCACACACTTTTTTCTCTTATTTCTCCGTTACTGAAGGGAAAAAAAACAGTCACTAGCTGCAGCAGCAAGCACACTTTGAATGTGTTTATATTTTTCTACGAATTCACTTGACGGAGCTATTTTCTTTGACTTCTATCTAACACGGCAGTATGCAAACGAATGAACAAAATATGGCCGCCGTCCGACGGCAGAGAGAGCTCTGGAATCTTGTGTTTGCGTGTGTATGTATCTGTATTGGTCGCACAAATGCAAAACAGCAACAGCATCAACACAGTGAACGAAACGCATTTGGCCGCATACACACACAACACACTTCTTCTCTTCTCTTCTCTTCTCTTCTCTTCTCTTCTCTTCTAAACTCACAACATTCTCTTGTGTGCTGTCAAAAATTTTCAACTGTCAAAAATTCCGATTGCTTTGAACACACACACACTCTGTGAATATTCCGTCCAGAATTTATTCGAAACACAAATCGCTTTGTTATTGTTGCTGTGTGCGTGTGTGCACGAGATTGCATTTGGTGTTTTTTTATCATTCTCACCCATCTGGAAAGAGCCATGATAAACATAAACACACATCATACGTGAATCCGTTTTTTAACTTTTGAGTTATGAATGAATAATCTTATGCGTCCGCCAATGAAATATTGCGCCTTAACAATAATGATAGCACAATCACAAATGCACATTTTATAAATAAACGACGGCTGATGCATGTCCCGAACGACCGCATGTTAAAAATGCTGATGTACTCTCTTCCCATTTGTCTTGTGTTGGATCATAGAATTCAACGATGCTCAAAAATGAATGGCCATCAAAACCACCCATTATGAATTTGATCATCAACACAATCCATGAATTGATTCACACACGATGGCTGATAAATTACGGCCGTAATTACGGCCATCACCGCCATCATCAGTTTGGGAACAGGTGTAAACGGTAAACGGATTAACGGAAACTGAATATTTTTTCGTTTATGACATTTTTATTGGGGTCTTTTTCATAATGACAAATATGTCTTAAGTTTCGAGTTTATTAAAGTGAGAGATATATAATGTGTAAATAAGCTTCATCACAACCGATTGAGTTTCACCCATCAGGAAAGAATACTCAGACGATGTGAAAAATTCAGTTGGAAGGATGATTGTGAATCCAGTGTTGCCGTGTTGTCACGTGGGTGGTATTGCTGTTTTCATTGCGTGCGTGGAATTGTGCAAGAATAACGAAGCCTGCACAAAGGCGGTCGATTATATTTGGGATTTCAGTAAAGGCGATTTTGTTTTGCTTTTGATAATTTTGGAGTAGTTCCGGGATGTAGGCGAAGGAGAATTCAAATACACAGTGTTCCAAAGTTTCAACAATGGCCTTCTTTTTCTCTTTCCCAAGACGGGCGGCACACTCAAAAGGCATCACCTTAGCAGTCAAATTTTTCGGTTGATTTGCTTTGAGTAGTTCGTACATTTGATGTTCGGTATATGAACAATCTTCGGCTCTCTGTCGCCACTCTGAAAGTCGATCAATCAATCGTTGTGGCATGTCCGTCTTTGTTCCCCCGACGTGTTTCAGCTCATCGAGACTTTTGTTCACTGAGAGTACATACGTTTTTGGTATTCCATACTCCAAGATACTTTCTGGTCGTTTACATGGACTTACGTTGTATTTGTTCAACGCTTTGATACCATGTGAATAAACTTGCTTGAAACTCCAGCTCAATGCTCTTAATGCTCCGCTATCTTTTTCGAGATCAATTTTTTCCAACAAAGATTGATCGATATCATCGCAATCTATGTAACCTGAGATGTGTTTAATATCGCATGCGAAATTAATGCGTGATGACGACGACGGTTGCAAATTTTCGTTTTGTTCAGACTGGTTATCATCAATGTGTGTTCTCTCGTGTTTCTTCAAATGAGAATTCGTAGCAAATTTCATCGGGCATATGTCACAGCTATATGGTTTTTCTCCGGTGTGTGTTCTCTTGTGAATTATCAAAGTAGAACTCGTGGCAAATTTCAGCGGGCATATGTCACATGCATATGGTCTTTCTCCGGTGTGTGTTCTCATGTGAATTATCAAACGATAATGCGCAGAAAATTTCAGCGGGCATATGTCACAGCTATATGGTTTTTCTCTGGTGTGTGTTCTCATGTGCTCATACAAATTAGAATTCGTAGCAAATTTCAGCGGGCATACTTCACATGCATATGGTTTTTCTCCGGTGTGTGATCTCTTGTGTTTCTTCAAATTAGAACTCGTAGCAAATTTCAGCGGGCATATGTCACAGCTATATGGTTTTTCTCCGGTGTGTGTTCTCATGTGAGTTATCAAACGATAACGTGTAGCAAATTTCATCGGGCATATGTCACAGCTATATGGTTTTTCTCCGGTGTGTGTTCTCTTGTGAATTTTCAAATTAGAACTCGAAATAAATTTCAGCGGGCATATGTCACATGCATATGGTCTTTCTCCGGTGTGTGTTCTCTTGTGTTTCTTCAAATTAGAACTCGTAGCAAATTTCTGCGTGCATATGTCACAGCTATATGGTTTTTCTCCGGTGTGTGTTTTCATGTGATCATACAAATTACTCTTGTAGTTAAATCGCTTCGGGCATACTTCACATGCATATGGTCTTTCTCCGGTGTGTGATCTCATGTGACTTGTCAAGTGAGCATTCGACTTAAAACACTTCAAGCAAACATTGCATTGATGCTTTGAATTTAGCGTTGGTGTGGACATTGGCACTGGCATTGATTTGACTGCTCCACTGTGAACACGTTGTGTTTGAAATGTACTACCATCAACGACGATGCCATCTGCATGAATTTGGGAGAAGAAAAAAAACAATAGAATACTACTGTGTCCAAAAAGTAAGGTGACATTGCATTTATTTTGAAAATTCTTTATTTATTCTTCCAAATCAATTTCATCGCCTTCAAAGTAATCCCCTCCCGATACAATGCACTTATGCCAACGGATTTTCCAATCTTCGAAACAGTTGAAAAAGTCGACTTCAGGGATGGCCCTCAGCTCCGTCTTCGCTGCGGCTTCAATCTGCTCTATCGTCTCAAAACGGTGTCCCCGGAGCGGTCTTTTGAGCTTGTTGAACAGCCAGAAGTCGCACGGTGCCAAATCAGGTGAATACGGTGGTTGTGGAACGATATGAGTCGAGTTTTTGGCGAAATGTTCACGAAGAATGATCGCATTGTGAGACGATGCATTATCATGGTGCAAAAACCAAGAGTTGTCTTTCCACAATTCCGGCCTCTTTTGGCGGATAGCGTTACGCAAACGACGCATAACACTCAAATAATATTCCTTGTTGACTGTTTGACCCGGGGGAAGGAACTCATAATGCACAACACCCCGATAATCGAAGAAAACAGTCAACATGACCTTGATTTTTGAGCGACTTTGGCGCGGTTTTTTTGGTCTCGGCTCACCTTTGGCACGATATTCGCTCGATTGGTCGGTTGTTTCCGGGTCGTAAGCATAGATCCAAGTCTCGTCTCCAGTGATCATGCATTTCGTCTTGTCAATGTAGTCAGAAAGCATTGTTTCACACACGTCAACTCGACACCTTTTTTCCAAAAAATTCAATGATTTCGGTACCAGTCGAGATTTGACGCGTTTGAGGCCCAAAACATCCTTCAAAATGGTGTTGACTGAGCCTTTCGATATGCCAATATCATCAGCAAGGTCTCTAATCGTTAATCGACGGTTTTCCAACACCAAATCTTTAATTTTTTGGACGTGAGCTTCGTCGGTTGAGGTTGATGGTCGCCCAGCACGCTCTTCGTCTTCGACACATTCACGGCCTGCTTGGAACTCACTATACCACTTGTAAACATTTTTTTTCGACATAGCCTCATCACCAAAGGCTTTCTGCACCATCCTCAACGAATCCGCAGCAGAAAATTGATTCCGCAAACAAAATTTAATGCAAATTCTTTGATCAACAAATTTCGACATCGCAAAAAACGAGAAATTCACTTTTAGCAGTCCACAAAACGAAGCGTATCTCAAACACTAATGAATATTTTGACGTGTAATTTGGCAGGGATGTCAAAGACAGTCCTACCAACCTAAAAATAAAAGGATTTTTTCAAATTCCCCAGCGCGCTAAATTTTAAATGCAATGTCACCTTACTTTTTGGACACAGTAGTATTGAACTTAACCATTAAGTTTAGGAAATCGCCAGTCCCGACCTTAAAAGGATCAATTTACCATATTTTGTCTGCATTGTTATAGGTGTGTACATCGTACAGTGCTTTTTTTCTCTCCAGCTAGGGAAAAGAATGCGCGAAAAAAGCGTTATTAAGATTGCATCTTAATAATATGTTATTAATTGAATCAATAAAATCCAAACCTAATAATATGTTATTAATTGAGTTAATAAATCCATCTTAATAATATGTTATTATTATAGTTAATAAAATGTTATTACCGCCGAATCTTAGGATTTATTAAGATAACACCCGATATAACGCATAACATATTATGTTATTATTATGCTAAATCTTAATAACGTTATTAAGATAAAAAAAATCCCAACATTAACATAATAATAAATATGTCGGGCAATAACATATTGATAACATATCGAAAATGTAAATCTGTAACCGGCGCTACTCCCTTCTTTTGGTACGAAATTTAGTGAGAAATTCACAACAACGTCATTCTCTTCAAAAAAAAATGTTTTTTTTTTGCATGGTGGATTTTCAACCACGCTTTGGTATACTCATATGCAATGTTGCATGACTAGACCTCTCATCCGGCCCGGAATTTTGCGGAATTTTGCGAAATTCCGCAAATTTTGGAATGGCTCCGGAATCCGGAATTTTTGAACGATTTTTCAACGAATTCCGCAAATTTTCAAATTTTGTGAAAATATTACGAATGTCTTTCAAAAAACATAAAATTGTCCATATCAAAGTAGAAATGTGGCTCACATACCAAAGCACACCAAACAATTTCATACTAATATAATGACTGCATTTGTCGATCGAGAAATAAACAATCAGGGGCCCGTTGCACCGTACAGTTACAATAATTGTAAACTTGTAAATTGTAAAATTGACTTACAATTTTACAGGTGCCTGTAAATCTGATTTACAAGTTTACAATTCCCTGTAAAATTGGTTTACAAGTTTACAAAAACTTGTAAGATTGATTTACAATTTTATAGAGAATTGTAAAACTGATTTACAAATCTACAATTTCTTGTAAAACGCTAGTTCTAAAGCATTTGCAATGAAAAATAGTTTTTACTTGATACAATTCTTTTTATAAAGTCAATTCGTGAGGCAAAAGTGAAACTATTCATTTAAATATTATGAAATAATTTAAATTGTATATAAAAAAAACAAATATTGTGATTTTTATTTCTTTGAAGGGTTTTCCCCACAGATGGCAGTGTGAAGAATAAATCTGATTTATAGAGTGCCATCTGTGGGGAAAACCCTTCAAAAAAAATTCGCAATATTTGTTTTTTATATACAATTTAAATTATTTTATAATATTTGAATGAATAATTTCACTTTTGCCCCACGAATCGACTTTATAAAAAGAATTTTATCAAGTAAAAACTATTTTTCATTGCAAATGCTTTAAAACTAGCGTTTTACAAGAAATTGTAGATTTGTAAATCAGTTTTACAATTCTCTGTAAAATTGTAAATCAATCTTACAAGTTTTTGTAAACTTGTAAACCAATTTTACAGGGAATTGTAAACTTGTAAATCAGATTTACAGGCACCTGTAAAATTGTAAATCAATTTTACAATTTACAAGTTTACAATTATTGTAGCTGTACGGTGCAACAGGCCCCAGATTAATCGATTCTCTTCTGTCCTTTTTTTCGCTTAATTTAATTTTTGCATTCAACAAATAGCGATAAACACACTTTTCTGCAAGTGTATGACACAATTCATTTAAGACACAAATACATTGATAGAGCGTTCAATACAGTTAGCAAACGAAAGTGAAGAGTGAGAAAAAAAAGAAATGAAAAGTAGAAATCAGTTGTTTGTATTTATTCGAAGAGCAAAATGTGTGCAATAGCCGATTTTGGTAGTCTTACAATAATTAAGTTATTTGATCGATCGACTCGAGTCATTAAGAGCAAGATTTATATCAAATAAAATAGTTTAAAAAACATACATTTCTGCTTCGGTTTGTGTGATTCGGTACAATGCCAGCAAGTGCAACCAAATATCAAAAATGAACCGGCCATTCTTCGTGCAATAAAAAGTGGACAGAAATACGAGGAGAGTGCAAAACGAATGCAAAGCCGGGTGTTGCAACTAAATCAAGAAAGTGATAATTCGGGAAACGCAAGACAACGCGAATGTTGTTGATTAGCTTAATTGCAAATTCTCATTTATTTGGTATTGCTTTAATTTCATTCTGATATTTCACACTTTAATAAATATGTTCTTGAGCGACGTGAAAACCGATAAATCAACAAACAATTGAATCACACCTTATTGTTTTCACTAATTCAATATTTTCAATTCATTTAAAACAAAAGAATTCGAAAAGAGTACCTCGAATGCATTTCAGTACTATCGTACCATCACGACTAAACAGAAAAGTCGTCGGCTGTCACGTAAAAACATCGGTCGGTGTAGCATCATAGCAAACGAGACAGCAAATTTGACTCGATGTTCCCGTTATCCAGATTCAATGCGTTGTTGCTCCTCTGAATAAAGTAACTTTCGTATGCGTCCAATTTGCGCGCGTCCCCTATCTCTTTCACCAGCCGTAAGTTGCTTATGTCGATATTCAAATGACCGCTGTTCAATGCATGTAATGCTAAGGCAGAGCGGTAGCCCTGTTTGTTTTTTATGCACAAACAATGTTCACGGAAACGAACTGAAATGTCACGTTTCGTTTGTCCAATGTATTCACACATACAAACGGGGCACTGAATAGCATAAATGCCAGATTTATGTTAAGAATCAATTGTGTCTTTGGTTGAACCCAACAAATTCATTATTTTGGTTTGATTCGTATACACAATGACTAAATTATATTCACGAAACTTATTTTTTATCTTGTTCATAATTTGTGGGATGTATGGCAAAGCAACTCTAACTCTTTCTACTTCTGGCGTGTTTTGCGAAAACAAAGTCGATAAATTAAATTTGTTTATTTTGTCTAAATGTTTTTTTATCAACACGTCGACCAAATCTCTTGAAGCCATTTATTTTCGCCATTTGTTTTATGCGAGCGTATTTCACACTTTTCATAATATTTGATAAATTTTTTACTGTTCCTTTGTAATTTTCCTATGAACTCTTGAAATAAAACGATATTTAATAAATTCCGGAAATTTCCGTAAATTTTGAACCCGAACTCCGCAAATTTTTTTGAAATCCGTACAAAATTCCGGAATTTTCGTAAAAATCCGATGGGAGGTCTATATATTGCTTTTGCTGCCACCATTGCTTTTGCTATGACTTATCTTAATCCAAACATGAAAAAGTTGTGCCAGATTACATTGGCCGAACGGCGTCTCTTTCAGGACGAAATGGAAAATTATTTTGCAGACAATTTTCCCAGTGATGTGAGAGAACCACTAGATCGTGAAAACGTCCCATCTCCTCACGAAGGAAATTTTCTGGCAAGATTCATGTCCTTTGACGATGGTTCAATGGATCCTGAGTGGAAGCGATGAGATACAAACATCAATCCGTTCCGTGTGAAGTAAAAGACGTCAAAGATTGGTGGAAAACACATTCCACCGTTTTTCCGTCCTTATTCAAAATGTATCTCAAGTTGTCTTGTATTCCGGCATCAACGGCCAGTAGCG